TCAAATTAAAAGCCAGTCTGAAGAGGTGCTGATGGATTGATTAATGTTTCATTTATTTCTCTACTTTATTTTGTCCTCGTTTCACTTCCTTCTTCCTTGATCAATAATCCCTCTTTCATTTATATGTATTTGTTTCTTGGCTGGATTGCTTGTAAAAGTACAACTCATGTTCTGATCCCAGACCCACTTAATGGACACACACATTGATGTTTTATCCCTAAACTGCAGAGGTCCTCATGTCGTGATTGTGTAGACGAAATTATGTCTCCCAATAGTGATACATACCAAAACACGCAGACACACACAAAGTACAATGACAGTGACACCCTTTTATTTTTGTGTTTCTGCATATTGCTTTACCTCACACAAATATCATTGCAAGTAAAAGTGCCTATCATTCTTTACAGATATTGACCTCCCTTTTATTGCTTTTTGACCCGTAGAGGGCTCTACAAATGCAAATCCTAGAGAAGCACATTCCCCAAAACCAACACAAAAAGATCATAGATAATAAATCGCACAGCAAGCGCAGGTGATCACGTGGACTCATATTATTCTTGTGTGTAAAGGCACCCAGCATGCACACACAGACACACGCAAAGATGGCCGCCAGCCCAGTCTCCATAGGATTTCTGTTCGCATTGGATGATTCTGCAGCCTTGATTTACATCCAACGCAAACGTGTAGTGCCGAGCGGGCAGTAATGTTCCTTTTTATGTAGAGGAACAAAAACTAATAATTTGCCGGCGGATTTGGAGGAGGATGCATGTTTGATTATTTTTGCAAGAGTGTTCAAAATAAGTACACTTCACAGAAATGATCTTCTGTGTGTTTGTTTAAAGATTGACATAGATTTGAGAACTGAGTCATATGACCATTGTTGGAGATTTTTTTTATTTAAATACATAGATTTTCCTTTTCTTTATTTAAAAAACCATACTGTTTGACTCAACCTCAAAGTATTTCATGACATATTTGAGACTTGATTAGTTATTGTAGGGATGATATGAGTAATGCTTTGAATTAAAGAAGTGTTTTCCTATTTGCCTTTTGTAGCGACTGTGCAGGATGGAGCAGTTTTTTAAGCAGGCGTATAAGGCGGCTTCGTGATAGTTCGGAGAGAAACACACCAACTCACTGGCCAGTTTGCACCAATGGCCAAGTACAACATACACTAACACACACACACACACACACACACACACACACACACACACACACACACACACACACACACACACACACAAAACTGCAGGTTCAGCACACGCAGTAAGCAGCCTTCATGAGATCAAGTGTTTGCTCACAGAAACAAGTACACACAAACACTTGCCTGCCTTATCGCAAATGCTTATGCAAACACACACACACACACACTTACAGCCCACTGTATGCCATTCGTGACTGGATATCAGACACTTCAAGTAGGTAGAAGATTGTGTTGGTGGGTAATGGAGGAGGTTTTCTGTTGACTTCTGAAAAGAGATCAGGATGTTGTTCATATGACTCATCTTGAAATAAATCTGAAAAGGATTCCTACTGATACATATTTAGGGATGGTATCTGTTGTTCATTCGCAAAGCACAGCAGGCAGTACACATGGCTTGCACACTCTGTGAGAAACTTGTGTTGCTATGTTTTGGTAGTTTGTGGCAGTGCAGTATTATTAGATCTCTGTTTAGTGTTTTGTTGCTAAACACTTGAGAAGGCAAATCAGTTTTCTGATCAGTAAACGTTTAAATTGTAGCTGGAAGTAAACTAAGCCTTAAAAAGTTAAATAAAAGACATTCCACCAATCCTAACACGAATACAACTCTAACAACTTTTTGAAATGAGTGGAAGGTTTAGAGACATTGGTCTATTAAAGAAAAGCTTTACCTAAATGTGAAGCTTTGGCTGGTCATCATCATCAAGTGAAATTGATAGTCTTGGTTTTGTAATAGATATGTAAGCCAAACTTGTGTTTTCCAACTTAGCGTATTTTCCCACAAATATGTCCATTGTGATTCTATGAGTTTTGCTTTCAGTTGAAGTGAATCTGGGTAAACAAGGACTCATGCTAAATGAAGCATATTGGGGCAAACTAAGGCCCCGTCCACACGGAGACGAAACGCGTGTTATCCGCTATAGTTCTTTATCCACACGAGGCCGTAACGGAACCGCGGAAATGAAGCCCTCAAACGATAGTGCTTCCCAAAGTGGGAAGGTCTGGTAACGTAACGCTTGCGGGGCCGTGTGTACGCCCTAAACGATCATAGCCCCGCCTCTCCCCTCCTCTCCTGCTCAGCCCCGCGTCATTGCTGATGCGTTTCGCAAAAACAACAATGGCGGATCACAGGGTTGCTTTCGTGCTCCAGACGCTACTGACCATGCTACAGATGTTAGTGCAAAATCTACAGCTCCTCTACCACAACCATCAGCAACAAGTGGACATGGAGAACTACATGAGCTACATGTTGCTAAATCCACCGCGGAGAATAACCAGAAGGGCAACCATGCTTGGGGGATCTTATTCGTTGCTTTTGGTGTATTTTGTGGCGGAAGTACAGCGCCACTTACAGGCCCGGCGTATGTACTACAGCGGGTCGAGGGTCTCGTGTGGACGGACACGTTTCTTGTCCCGATTCCGTGTGGACGGAAAACTTTTTTGATATAGACCTTGGTTCGTTTTCGCTTTCATCTCCGTGTCGACGGGGCCTAAGAAAGACTCCCATGGCATTTAAATTAATAATAATCCCATGGAACGGCCATTATGGGTAGCTGCACAGTGTTCTACATTTGTGTCAGATTGCTGGCTTCAAACTCAACTCCAATTGTAATATCAGATCATAGTTGGTAAAGGAACATGTGTAAAAAGGATGTTTCAAAGGTGGGTCACACATATTGTAGTTCCTTAAATAAAAATAGCTTTGTTTCTGTTGTAAGTTATTGGGAAAATAAGATTCATTCATTACTTTTATTTTAAAAGCCAATGTTTTATTTGTATTTCAAATGACAATACGTTAAAGTATATCATATTATTTACCATTTTCTGCAAATCCAGTGCCATATTTATTATCCTTTTTAATTTAAATGAATTGCCCCAAAAATATTTTTGCATGACACCCAAGCAGTGTGCTTTGAAATTGTTTGGGGTTATGGACTATCTACTCCAGTGACTTTAATTGAGATTTAGGTTTTCTTCACTGTACTCCCATGACAGCTGGTTAAGAACATGCTGACTTCTAAACCAATCCATTGATAATGCCAATGTAAAATGTACAATGTGAATAATAAGCAATTGTCAAAGCAGAAACTTGTAACAATATTGTTCCAAGGTTTTATAGTATACCTGTTACATTTTATTTTTGTTTGCATTTGAGATGTGAAATTAAAATGTCCTTTTCTCTGCATCATTCTTTCTGAATTGAAAAATAAAACCAGATATCTGGACACACACTTGTGTAGAACACACAAGATAAAGATCTACACTGAATGCTCACTGTGCTGGTAAATAACCTTATGGCTCAGAAAGCATGCAGGAAGTGCCTAACCTGGTCCTCCTCCCCAATTAAAATGATTGAGCCTCAGAAAGACTAAAGTCAAAGGAGTGTTTTGGTGGTCCTACTCATCGTTAAAAATAGCAGTTCGTTCAGTATGCAGTCAATGACAGAATTACACTTTTAAAATAAGACTCACTTATTATCACTTCCAGTATGTTCAGGCTCATAGAACATTTCTGACTTCTGGAGGTACTTGTTCAGAAAATGCGTACAGGACAAGACTGTAAAAATCTGTTTATGGTGGTACTTCTGCCACTTCTGGTGAATCTACTAGTCGATGTCAGATTGTAATGGCTTGCTGTCACTTGTTCGCAATCTGGTGCCTCAGTGAACTTAAAACTGAAGGTTCAGGTACAACTAAAAAATAACTATTAAATTGCCAACAGATGGGAGTTATGACACTCACACAGACAGTGAATGGAAGAGAAAAAATGTGTGGTTATGCTTATTAATCAGCATTCAATCCTATAAAAATATGATCTGCATTTGATTCCAATGCAGGAGATCTGTAGATAGTGACTGTTTAATGTTGGAAGGGTGTTTAAATTCCAAAAGGCAAGATATCGGAAAGCTTTTTCTTTTATACTACTTAAATTGCAACTTCAGGACAACACCACAACAATGCTGGAAGAACCCTGATGGTGCGTTCACACCGGCCGTAAAGGGAAGATTCACATACAATTAGCATACTTTTCATTTCATTGTAAAACATTTTTCAAAATGATGCCAACAAATCTCCACTGATTAGTAAAAACCATGAATGAATGCTTTGGATAGTGTGTCCAATAGACTGCTGTAGGCAGAACACTTTTATAATGTATGTGTTCTGAATGGAGATCACATCAATAACACAAGATGTTTTGTTTCTAGTTAAAGATAATTCATGTCAGGCACATTTCTAACTCTTCTAAAAATCGAACTCTTGCTGTGTCATTTGCGAAAATGAAACTTTGCGTCGAGTGTGAACGCACCTTAACCCCTAACCCTAAAACAAAAGGTCTTCTTAAATGTTGCTGTCTTTGTTAAATGCATTCTAACCATAGCCTTAAATGTCTAAAATTCCTAATATCATTTGTTCATATCATGATTATACAGCTTCTAATACTGTCAACAAGTTGCACTCTGTTGTGGGTCACCACAACAATGTTTAAGAACTTTTGAATATCGCAATGCATAACAAATGTTCATCCTCATGTGGCCATATTGACATTTGTGTGTTCAAATCACTGCATGTTTAGATCAAATAAACTGTCCTCTGCTTGCGGTTCTCACAATAAATGATTTCCTTGACAGTATTTCTGATCTGGTGATGTATGTGTGTTTGTATACCTGTGAACGTGTTCAGGTTCTGCATGTGGATTCCACACTTGTCATGCATGTCTGTTTGTGTAAACAAACCCGTTTGTATGTCATTGTGTGTATGCTTGTTACAGTAACGTGTATTTGTTCATAAAACTGTAGGAAGTTGGCAAAGAAGCAGAAAGAGACGGCCAGCAGCTCCACCCAGCAGAGGGAGATGGGCCCGGTCACCACGGCTGATAAGAGCACCACCAAGGTCAGCACGCTGCACAAAGACGACCCCTTCTCCACCTCCAACCAGGACCTCAATGGCTTCAGTGAGTCAAATCCTCTGTGCTTCTGACCTCAATTTGCATCCTACATTTGGAGAATCTTCAGAGAATATATGTTACCAGAAAGTCAAATAATAATTAAAAAACGTAGCCTAAATACATGTCTTTAATTTAATCTTTGTTTCAAATTGTAATAACGTTTATTTTCCCTTCTAGAAAATATGCATATACTAGTCTCTGTGCCATTAATTATTTTGTCAGATTAATTTATTCAAACAGTGGACTTTTTTTCATAATAAAACTCTCCATATGTTCCTTTTTTAGTAATATCAGCAGTATGTTGTGCTGCTTCACTAGCCTCCATCTTACTTAGTGCTGCTGTAATCATTTCCCCTCAACCCTAAACGTTTACTTTTCTGCCTCAAACACATGCAAGAACATGTGTGCATATTGCATTGGGACTTTCTCCAATCCATCAATGTGACTTCAACGGCAATCTTATGAAAGTCGTTGTGCATTTGCACGGTTATGTGTGTGTGTGTGTTCTGTGTGTGTGTGTGTGTGTGTGTGTGTGTGTGTGTGTGTGTGTGTGGTGTGTGTGTGTGTGTGTGTGTGTGTGTGTGTGTGTGTGTGTGTGTGTGTTCATGGTAATTGACAGGGCCCCTCAGAAGGACATTTTCTTCTCCTGAAAATGTCATGCTGGCCTTTTGGGAGTGCTTGGCCGTTGAAAAGCAGGAGTGCTGGAGAGGGACTAAGTAGCAGGCTAATGTCGCCCATAATTGCCTGCTCTCTTCTTCCTACTGTCCGCACTGCAACTCTCACGTAGAATAATGTTTTTGCATTTAAAACACTTAGAGAGGACTGCTTTTTTCTCGACCATAAATGTACCATAAAGCTTTGACATTGGTTTAAAGAGCACTATTGTACTTTTTGCAGGGTTTTCCCTTTCCTGTAGTGTCATATTTGAGTGGATTTAGTGCATGTAAATGTTCTGCAGAGGCTAACAGTTCCCTGCAGAGGGAGTTTCACACACACCCCCCCTGCCTGAAACGCCTCCATTGGACTCCTTTGTTTACTTCCATAACATAGTCACATCACTATGCAACATTCAAGCTTCTATTGGCTAGCACTCGAACACTTTGTAATGTGATAGGCTAAGGGGCGGGATATCTCTAAGGGGTTGACCAATCAAAACAGACTGGGCTCTAGTTTCAGACAGAGGGTGAACAATAAAGTAAAAAAGAAAGCACTGTTTGAACATTAAGGCATCTTTGGTAACATGTCACAGTAAAAGCACAATATACAAACATGAACCTGTAAATTAGCAGAATAAGTCCTTTGTAAAATAAACTTGATTGGGCAATAGCATCATTAAGAAAATAAGCTTATTTTCTTCTTGACCTTGGTTGCTTCATTAAGTTTTTAGTTTTTGTATTAGTATTCCTACAACTAAACCTAGCTATGCTTTTGCTGAGTTAATGAACACAGTTTCCGTGTTTGAAGAATTTAGAAAAGAAGAGGTACATCTCTCCTGGGAACTGAATATATGATGAAGTAATGGCTATTTTATAAGTCATGGATTTTGTGCTTCCAGGCACAGTTGACTGGTCCTTGCCTCGGGCCAAATATAGTTTTGGCATTCAAATAAGTCTTCTTTATTTAAGGCATATGTGAATGAAGTTCGGACTTGACAGACTTTCCTCTTATTTATCATCCTTGGAGGAAAGTAAAGAGTATGTCTTGGCAAATGCGACACAAACCAGAGGGAGATTGTATTGTATTATCAATCCAATGAAACTATATGGATAGACTATGAAAGATATATTTGTTGTGACTTTCTACACCTTGTTGTTAGGATCCATGGCAATTAACTGTTTGGTTCATCAGAGCTGGTGCCATGAAATAGTCTTCCTCTAACTGCGTCCCTTTCACTGTTGGTAGTGTTATCACACACACATTTGAAAAAGGGAAAGAAACAAAGGACACACACATGCGTCACTGATCCAGGCTCAGTCCTAATGAGACGGAGAAAAAACGCTGACGATGGGTAGGGGACCCAATAATATTTCCGCGGATGGACCCTCGCAGGGCAAATAACCTTTTTGTGTTATTGCATTCTCACCCAGCCACCAGTTATCTTCACAGGACATTGCTGTCAAAGCAGTTTTCTTTTGGTATGCAGGAACACTCCTCACTGTATTAAAGTTGAGCTTCTTTTTGAGGCGCGTTAGCATACAGTGCTGGTACGCATTAGACGAGGGGCATTTTGTAACGGAAGAGGAGAAAATATTTTCCGGGGTATTTGGAGAGGTGATGGGGAAGAAAGAGAGATGACAAGAAGATAGAACCTAAATGGTCTGCTAGGGGGGAAATCGTGCCAGGAAACAGTCGAGCAAATAGAATATGAATTAGGCAAAAAGGCACCTGTATGGAGGAATCATCAGGAAATTACCATCACACTTATTATTAAGAGCATTAGTGAAATGACAAACACTGGATGAGGCCTTTATACTGCCATTTTACACAACATGTGCTATATTATTTATATATAGTCAGACATTTTACAGTTACTGGTGAGCACATTTATTCAATTATATTAAGAGGCCTTATTATGCTTTTTGGGGATTTCCCTTTCCTGCAGTGTGTTATAGGTTGCTGTGCATAAATGCTCTGCAAAGACTCATATTACAAAGTTTCTTCCAGAGGGAGTTTCTCTCCAAAACCTTTTTTGCTCACATGCACTTATGGATGCTGCTCACTTACACATATGTTACATTAGTATCTCTCAAGCCATTCTCTTCATATTCTTTTAATGTGACAGCGAGACAAATAGATAACTTGAGTGTCACCTTAGCTGCCATTATTACAAGATGTTATAAGTGGCTCCTTCCAAAGACCCCTTGGGATATTGCTAATGCTTTTACAACTTTTCAACATCGAGCTAGAATGTTTTACAAACCATCATGCTAATTGATTTACAATTCTTCTATACTACTTGTTCGTTGAGTATGAGTTGGCTCTACTTAAACTGAGACAACAACACAAAAAAGCTTTTAAAACGTCATATCACGGGACGGAGAGGCGAGAAGGTGCATCTGAAGCAAGCTAAGGAGGTGACAAGAAGAGGGGATGGGGGGAGTGTGGGGGGGGGTTGAAACAATGCCAAAGAAACGCAGGGGCAGAAGAGGAGAGGCACATTGAGTATGAAGGGAGGCAGAGGAGAGGTTCCTTCAGTTGGAGAGTTTCCACTAATGGCCCCTGCTCGGACCGTCAGGTCTCTCAAACACACAAAACAAATACATTATGAACAAGAGTGAAAATACTGTATATGATGCCATGCATGATTACTAAATGGCTTCTTAAAGTGTATGGATACATGTCTTTACGTTTAGGTGAGCACACACACACACAGCAAAGCAACTAGCTGCAGGTAGTGTGTCGCTACATGTGTGTAAGCTAGCTCAGATAGTGTGGATTATTGAACAGCCTTACAGTAGGTAGCATATAATATGTCACAGTCAGTCTCCCAGCATTCCCCCTGGGTTTGATCTTATTGTGTGTGTGTGTGTGTGTGTGTGTGTATATCCTACCTTTCATTTATTTATAACCCCTGGCAGACCTGATGGTGATCCCTATGTATATGCATTAATGTATGGGCTCAGCTTTTTTACAACTCTTTCTATTATTGACTTTATTCCCACAGTGCAGCTTTGAACAGGCAGTAGCTATTCAATGCATGAAGCTAGCCGTCAAAGCCAAAAAAGTGCACCAAAATGAAAATCTAAACAATATCCCTCTAAAATGAAAACCCCAACCCTTTCATTACGCTAGATATTCTGGCCTATCAACATTTTAAAAGCACTATCTTTTGGCGGAGAGATTATGATTAATTAATGCCAAGTAGCACTGAGGCTTTTCTTAGGCTTAAGATTGACAATCACCTCACATATACGATAAACTTTGGTTTTGTCCCAAGTACTGACTACAAACTACTTTTCTCTCGGCAAGGAGTCATAATTCCATTGGTCCTCACTAGAAACACATAACAAATCCATTTTAAGTTTAAGTGAAGAGAGGCTACAGTAGGTAGTTCACTGCTCAATAAGTGCTGGCTAGCTGAGTTAGCAGGACAAATGCTATCATTGTTCCTCTCCATTGATTCAATCCATTTACTTTGAACGGCCATTCTTTATACCGGCCACAAAATCAGTCGTATTGACCAACATTGAGAGCATGTCATATTTGAGTGCATGCTCATTGAGACGGAACCACTTTTGTATTGCAAAATTCAATACGGTAGCATTGACGGTGCCATTAGTGTTATTGGATTGTTCCTCATTTAGTTGAATATGGATATTTCTTTGTGTATGTTTTCATTGTTAAACATGTCCTGTGATGATTGATTGTTGTTTCTTTTTAGATTCACTCACTGACCTATCCCTCTTCTATCTCTTTGGCCTTCTCCTTTTGTCCTGTATCCCCATTTGTACTTCACTTCCTGTCTCTGCTTTCATATATTCATCTCCACCTTACACTTCCCACTTACACTATTCCATTTTCTCCTCCTAATTCGTCCTCTTTTTCTGTTCTCCTCTCCATCTTCTCCTTCCTATTCTGTCACACACCTCCCCTTCCACTCCACTGCTCACTTCGCCACCTCCTGCTTCTCCCGTACATCCTCTTGTTTCCTCGTCCTCTTTCTCACCTTATCTTCACCTCTCTTCCCTTGTGTCTCCTTCTCCAGCCTCCCCCTCTCCCTGTTCATTCTCTGTGCAGGGAGGCAAGACACTGCAGAGCAAATCCCTGCTGAATTCCTACTACTCAGGTACACACTTAAACACGCACACAAACACACACACACATAATCTTTGAAGAGGCTTTGGGCAACGATTCAATGCCTGTGGAGTTTCATGCAGTTGGGATTTCATCTGCTCAAACTATCCCTATAAATGACTCCGGAGAAACTGACATACTGTATTTCTTCCAAGTTTCCTTTTTGGGTTGACCATATCATTGTTTGCATACATGTTAGGCAGTGGATACTAGCAGAACATGCCGTACAGCTTCTAAGTGTGTGACCTGTACCCAACTAACATGTTTTTTACAGTTACTTTGCACTTTGACACTTGTGAAAAAAGGTTAAAGGTGTTATGTTTAACACATATACGCATATTCAGGCTTCAAAGGCAATATTACAAACATTTTATTTATCAGGCAAGAGCTATTCACACAACAGTTTGATCAGATGACAATACCTGCTCACACCCAAACAAATATTATAATTGAATAAATAACAAAATACAAAACATAGTTAATAGGATCCCAAAACATTTCAAATAACGAGGTCGACATTCCAATACAATCAACAACCATAAACACATATGAAATGCAGGACAAACAGTATTCATTGTTCCATATAATCCCACTCTTTGTTAGTTTGCCCCAATCATTTCAATCAAAATAAATTGACTTTGATTTCATTTATTTTGTGCAGTGTCTAAAGAACCAGTTCCAGCCACAACTTCCATAGGTGAGTACAAACTGTTTTATAATTTTGACAAAGCATAGAAGCTGCAGTTAATACTTCTTAGTAAATACAGCTCTGACTTGTGTGTATCTTAGTGTGTATCTGTTAAAGTGCGTGCAAGCATGTGGAAGTGTGACCAACAAGTGAAGCAAAAGTTAACAAATGAACTGTCTTCCACACACAAGTATTCATATACGAGGTCAGAGACACACACACGTGCATATACACAACGTTTACACATGGGAAAAAAGAAATGTCAAAACCATTTTCCAGTTTCTTCTTTCTGTCTTTTTCTCTTCATTTCCCTCTCTCCCCTTCTGTTGGCCAGATTGGCCTCTTCTTTGCCAAGCAGATTGGCTGTGGCCCCTGCCAACGTGTGTGTGTGTGTGTGTGTGTGTGTGTGTGTGTGTGTGTGTGTGTGTGTGTGTGTGTGTGTGTGTGTGTGTGTGTGTGTGTGTGTGTGTGTGTGTGTGCGTGTGTGTGTGTGTGTGTGTGTGTGTGTGTGTGTTTGTGTGTGTGTGTGTGTTTGTGTGGGTGTATCTGTGTGTAAGCTTGAGTGTCTGGCCAGCCTTTACACGAGTAGACCATTTCACACACTCTTGACTCTCGCTCACACACACACACACACACACACACACACACACACACACACACACACACACACACACACACATACACACACACACACATACACACACACACACACACACACACACACATACATACACACACACACACACACACACACACACACACACACACACACACACACACACACACACACAGAGGTATAGTAAGTAGTGATATTTGTCTGCCGGCCTCCTTTCTGTATAATGTGATAATACCTATCAGCTGCTCGTCTTCCTGCCACACCTCCTCCCATCCCTCCTTTCTTCTTATCTCCTCTCTTCTGCCAATTATTGTCATTCCCCCCGTCATCAGGTCTGCCATCACATCATCATGCTACCTCATTTTGACTCTACATGTCAAAACACTTTTTCCTACTTTTTTGTTTGAATCGAAATGTTCATTTTATTAATATTATAATATATATATAATCATTGTATTGTAATGCTACTATGCCTGATTGTCCACAAGCCCAATTTCTGGCCATTTATTTAATTGTATTAGTTCAACCCTTCCTACTTTTGGTAAATCCAGCCCCACCAATAAGAGTTTTTCTCTTTTTCTCAAATATTCTTTTCACCATTTAGTTTGAATTACTTTTCTCTGCCATACTCACATGTTCTGCTTTTTCTGTGCCTTTTCCGTTTTGTTCCTTTCCTAAACTCATTATCAGGTATTCGAACATCCATTCTTGACTTCCGCTTAATTTGCAAACGTCAGTGTTCACTCTTCCCTCTCACTTCATCCGCTCCTCCTCTCATCTCCTCTGTTTACCAGCTGAATCAATGTTATACCTGCCGAGCCCATGTTTTAACTGCCCAGGAAACGGAGAGAAAGAAAAACAGAAAAAGACAAATCAAAATAATAGACACCTACTCTGCATCATATATGCTCTTAAAACCAACTGGCCAAGACAAATGGCCATATGTACGCTGATTAACAGTAATGTAAACAACTGGCCACACAGGTTTCTTTGCCATTTGCTGATACACATCGAGGCATGATGAAGCAGAATGCAAAACAACGCATGAGTGATTTGTGTAACGGCACACATTTGCTGTCATACATCTTCACAGAGAGTCACGATTAAAACAATATACGTGTCTATCAATTGATCTCTACTTTTAGTAACCCTTTATTATCTCTTAATGGGGTCCTATAATGCTTTTGGGGTTTTCCCTGTCCTGCAGTGTGTTATATAGGTTTGGTGCATGTAAATGGTCTGCAAAGGCTAACATCCCTGTGTTCCCTGTTCTCTCCCAAACACTCAACCCCCCCCCCACATAGTGACACCAATATGTAACGCTCAGGCTTCTATTGTTTAGCCCTCAAACAAATCGTACGTGATAGGTTAAGGGGCGGGACATCTCTAAGCGGTTAACCAATTACAACAGAGCGGGCCAGCTAACCAATCAGAAAACATTGAACATTAAAGCATGGAGACATGTCACAGTAGAGGCACAGAATGCAAATATGAACCTGAAGATGAGCATTGTATGTCGTCTTTAATCCATGCCATGACCCCAACTCTCCAAACTCAGTTCACACAACTTTGTTCTTCTATCGACTTTTGTTTCATTTAATTACATTTTTTCTTTCCATCGATCCATCCATCACCTCTCTCATCGTCTTACCAATCCTGTTTTCTCGTCAACACATTACTCCGCTCCTCCCACGGTCATCTATCTATTCATACCGTCCATACACTCATCCATTAATACTTCCATTCCCCTTTTGTTTGTTTCCTAATATCGGTTAGTCCATCCATCGACTCTTCTGTCCCTCCATCACTGTCTATATCCACATCTGCTTTTATACTGTAATTGATTCTCTCCTTCTACCCATCATCCAACCATCAATCCAATTCCTATTTTTTCCAGTTCTACATTATCCTATCTTCGTCTTCAGACCATCTTGCAGTCCTCTTTCCATTTGCTCATCCAATATGTTCTCCATCCGTCACGTAAACATCATAAAGCATCATCCCTTGATGCTGTTTTCATGTCATGCTTAGCATTGCAATTATTTCATTGATTAGAGCAGTCATTTAGTGGATGGAGAGAGCCTGTCAATTGACCACCGAGCGTTTTGCAATCATCATCATCTTCTTCACGACCATCATCCAAGGCCAACAGGAAGAGAGATAGCAGAATGGAATACCAATCAAATGGCAGACATAGGGACGAAGGGAACATTAATAGAAAGTGTTGAAAGTGAGATTAGAGATAAAAAGGACACAGAGAATAATTTCAAGTTCTTTAACACTTGAACCGCCAGGGGTCGCTGTATACCTAAAACCGCCAACGGGTTAAATGGACCCGCTATTAGAATGCATTGATTTTCAAGGTACAATGTTCTTTTATTTATCATACTAGAACACAGGGTTAACGGTGAGTTTTAATCGCACAGTGGTTAAACTTATACCAATAGAATCTGAGGACTCTCAGCTTCCATAATGATATCTAGTTTGTGCAGATAGCATGAAGTATCTATCTATATATCTATCTATCGATCTATCTCTCTCTCTCTCAATCCCTCTATCTATAAGGAACCGCAGTAAACAACAGGCGTTGCTATAGCAACACGTCATGTTTATGTTTTTGCGTGAGATCAATAACGCGAAAATCACTGCATTTTCTATAAGGTAAATATTACCCGCTGATGGGTATGAATGGCAATTTTTTGGGCGATTTTTTCAATCTGACTTCATATTGACCATTTTTAACAACCGAGTGTGCTACATAACACACTTTCAGGAAAAGTCACAGACTGGGAGACTTGAATATTTTATTGAAAAAAAGTGACATACAATCAAGAAACAGCTGCGGGTAAAATGTACCCGTTGGCGGTTCTAGTGTTAACAGCATATTTGTTCATACAATACGTGTGTTTGGCACGTTTATTCCAAGTTGGGTTGTACTGCAGATATGTTCTTTATCATAACGAACACTCTTCTTTAATATAGAATGACGGGAGGGCGAAATAACTCAATAAGAAAACATCTGATTCTAGCATTTCTCCTTTTAATTATTTTCTTAGTTAAATGTGAGCACATTTTCTTAATTGTATTGCTAAAGTTACTTAAAGTATCTAAGCTAGCTGTCCACTTAATGTGATAAGACTAATCCTAAACCTTACCCTAACCCTAGACTAGTTAACTCAAAAAAAGAAAATATGCCCACCAGAGCAAACACAATCAATATTCTTCGTAATATTTTTCTACTGATCATTTGTGTGTATCTGTTTAGCCAAGAATGCTCCATTCTCCACGTTGACCTCCCTTAGGGTTATTAACCTATCCATACATCTAAAGTGGCCTCCAAGCGTAACTGGATTTCATTATTAAGTAAAGCGATAGAAAACATTTCATTCTTAAAGACTCCTCCATTTAGATACATTCCAAGACCTTTCAGGCTTTTGAAAATGGATAATGGTACCAGGAGCCTGAACGCTGCCAGTGAGGATAGCTTGAAGAGAGAGGCAGAGCAGAGAAAGAGAGAAGAAGAAAGTTATTAAGAGGACAGTGAAAGAGACATACAGATTGAGGGATCAAAGACGGGGAGAAGGAGCGTATCAGGTACGCTATGCAGAGGAGGGTTTAACTCGGTCTGTGTGTGTGTGTGTTTTCTTTTTGAACCAGCTGCAAAGATGTCTCCTTAGCTCAGGTGTTTTCTCAGCTATGGAAATGGAATTTCTCACACACACATGCACACACACACACACACACACACATACACACACACACACACACACACACACACACACACACACACACACCCTCATAACATCTTGCATCCATAAGCACCCAGCCAACACTCACACACAAATATATGCACAAAGAGACAAGGACACATCAGAAAGTTACACATGTGCACACAGGAACACACTCACAGATATCCGTATGCACAGACACCCCGCGCAGTGTTAACATTGATGCGACGTAAATCCACTGGATCAGTGAAAAGCCACCGCTGCATGGCGTGCATTTCATGTGCAAACACATTTTCCTTCGAAAAATCAATTTCACAGACTGATGTATGTTAAAAGGCTACGCAACACTGTTCTCTGTCACTTCACAAAGCAAGCGTCAGCCTTTTGTGGCCAGCCAAGGACAGCCCTTTGCATGACTTCTTAGCACAGAAGTCATGTTTTTCCATGAATCAGGAGCTGGTTAATTAGGTACACACAGTTGAACAAATACACTGATAGAAGCACAGAGCCATGCAAAGGCATCCCGGGGACCTTGGACACCAAAGAAAAAGCTAGATGCAAATTCCTGTTTGCCTTTTCAAGGGCTTTCAAAACAACAAAGATTAGGCACATTATACCATATCCCTTTTAATCCATACATAATGGATTCAAAAGCAATGGCTTTA